CTTTTATACCTAAAAATAGAAGGTAAGAGAGAAATTGACAACTGAATTTTGGTGAGCAACCAGGGATCAGCTGAAAAACAGCTTTAGGTTCTGCTCTCATTTTATCTGACCTGTAGTGAAAGTACTACTTTAGTGAAAAAAGTGTACTTAAAAATGTAGCAGTCAATAAAAGCTACCCAAGGACCATTCAAGTAAGATAAAAATATAGTTTTTTGGAATTATCCTTTATTATCCTTTTGCTGATTCTCAATTATTCAAATCCACTATACTTACGGTGACAATATTTTCTTGGAAAAAATAAAGGACAAACCTGGAAGTGGTTCATAAGGATAAAACATTTTAATTATTTATGTTTATAACTTTGCTTTACAAAGGCAAATTCAAGAGCAAAACCAAGAAAAACTTTACAAAAGCACATATTCTAATAAAAATATCTAAAATCAAATAGTATATGTAAATTTATTTTAAAAAACAATTCAATTTCCATATTTTTCAGATGAATGTGTAAGACTATGCATTAAATGGTATCATTTGTACTGTAAAAGGACAAAATAAAGGACAAAAGGAAGTTTTTGAAAAATAAATCTAAAGGACAGCTTTCTGAAATAAAGGACTGTCCTTTATAATAAAGGACTTATGGTCACTGTGACTATACTCTATAGTGATTTTTTCAACTCTACTTGGTGGTAGAGACCTAAGTCAAACAGGTCTATAGACCCATGTTTGCTATCTTTTCCCTTCTCTCATTCATGTTCCTCTTTAGAGCCCATCCTGTATATGAAGTCTGACCGCTTTGTCTATTTTATCTGCTAAAACTAAACCTGTGTAATTTCTTCTCTCAGTTCACTACTGTTTCCTCTCATTCTTTGTTCACCTCTCATGGCCTATGGTAAATTTTAGATTGTAACCTCCTTGGAGTAGGGACTGAGCTTCTTCATCTTTTTGTTGTTGATCTGAAATTATCTTACATTTTGGTAAACTGGATAAATAATATTCATGTTTGCATTGGTGACAATACCAACTTTCATCAACGAACACGTTGGCTTGAAGGTATCATCTAAACATCTGTCTTTTGCCCACTTGGTTTCAATAATGTTGCTATGGAGTTACATTTTTTAAAAATTGGTACTTAGGCTACAGAGAAGTTGGTGGCTTTTCTCTTTGGGATTGCCTCCCACATGGTGGCAGATGTGAGCTGGCACAGCTTGGGGATTGAACAGGGATTTCTACGGGCCATGGCAGCTGTAAGTAGTGTTCTGTTTATCTTTCTAGGCATAGGGTTTTTCCATGTGCTTATTTTACGACTGTATGTATCATTTTGCTTCAGTGCCAATGGTATATTAAAAAATAAACAAGGAGCATGCATTCTGCAATGTTTTTATAAGCCACAGCAGAAAATTATATACAGTGGTACCTCTACTTACGAACTTAATCCATTCCGTGACTCTGGTCGCAAGTCGAGTTGGTCGCAAGTCGAGGTAAATTTTCCCATAAGGTTCA